TCATTGGCCTGTCTGTGCCTGTCTCTGTGCTGCACCTGGTGTAGAGACCCCTTCCCCAGGGGGACCTTGCAGCCCCTTTACACTAGCCTAGAAGGCAGTAAAAGTGTGGCCACAGGGAAACAGCAGATTGGACGACCCTGGGTGTTTTTGAGTGAGATGACCTCTGTTTGACTTGGGTTTAGTTTACTAAGCTTAACTGGTCATTGGCCTGTCTGTGCCTGTCTCTGTGCTGCACCTGGTGTAGAGACCCCTTCCCCAGGGGGACCTTGCAGCCCCTTTACACTAGCCTAGAAGGCAGTAAAAGTGTGGCCACAGGGAAACAGCAGATTGGACGACCCTGGGTGTTTTTGAGTGAGATGACCTCTGTTTGACTTGGGTTTAGTTTACTAAGCTTAACTGGTGCTGAAACCTAAGGATCAAGAAGAGACTGATACTGTACTAGGGCCTGGGGTTTTAGCTTTTATGCTGGTTATCTCCTGAGCTCTTAACTACCAATCCCTGCCTATAGGGTCACATATCTGTGCTCTACTGGCAAAGTATAATGAATGTAATTCTAGGTATGGATAAGAACTCATTCCCTGCTTCAACCATATGAATTGCTACAACCAATCTATTGATGTGCTTGTAGATCTGGCAAATGACAGGTTGGTTTAAAAAAAAAAAGCGGATAGAGTTAACATTCCCTGCACTGGGGAGAATCTGCTCTCATATGCTTTCTTTCCAGAAGGCAGAAGAGTTTGAACTAGAGCCTCTGGCAAACTATGCACATGGGGAGAACATCCTGCTCCTTGGCTGAAATGTTGATTAGATAATTAGACTGTTTTATCCTGTAACTTGGAAGTGATGGCTCATAATATCTTTGTCCCCAGATTCTGCCTGATCAACGCCGGCGTCCTGTACCTCTATTTCAGCAGCTTTCAGCAGATAGACGAAGAGGAGTATGGAGGCACGTGGGAGCTAACAAAAGAAGGATTCATGACATCGTTTGCACTGTTTTTGGTAATTCCCTCCCCTCTTCCTCACTTCCTTTCCAGTTGCTCCAGTTACTGCCCGTGGAGCAGCAATTGAGAGATGTGAGTAGGAGCATGCCTTGGAATCCAAGCTAAGGAAGGGCCAAGAGGTAGAAACTTTGCAGCTGGGGGAAAGGCTGAACTTTTTCAGTCATAAAGTCTGTTAATTCTTACTGTTCCCCTTCTCTTCAACGTACAGATAACACAAAGGTTGCCAACACCTAGAAGTGTTTAAGTCTTGGCTTGACAAAGCCGTGGCTGTGTTGACTTAATTGGGATTGGTCTTGCCTTGGGCAGGGGGTTGAACTTGATGGCCTTCTGAGGTCTCTTCCAGTTCTATGATTCTATGAACACTTTAGAGCTAAAATTCAGAGAGATCTTGATAAACTGGAGAACTGGGCTACAGAGAAGAAAATTAAATACAAAAAATATGAGGTGTTATACTGATGGGAGAAAATCCAAATGTGTGCTTACAGAAAGGGGGATAACGGGCTTGGCAGCAGCACTGTGGAAAAGGATCTGGGGATTGTGGTAGATCACAGTCTCAGCACAAGTCAGCAATGCAATGCTATTATAAAAAAATCAGTTTTAGATTTCAAATCACAGGTAAGGTTGCTGCTCTGCTCATTGCTGGTTATGTCTCAGCTGGAATACTGTGTGTAAATTTGGTCATCATTGTATAGAAAGGCTGTAGAGAAACTGGAAGGGATCCAGTGATGAGCAGCAAAGATCAAAGGGATGGAATATGTGCCATATGAGCAAAGGCTTTAAGAACTGGGTATGCTTAGTTTGGAAAAGAGGAGATTAAGAGGAGACATGGTAGCAGTCTTCAAATACTTGAAAGGCTGTCATAAAAAAAAGTTCTTTCTGGTCACAGATGGTAGGACAAGAGGCTGTGGGTTCAAACTACATAGTAGCAGATTTAGAGTAAATCTCAAGAAAAATATTCTAACCATAGGAGAATGGAGCAGACTGCCAAGGGAAGTTGTAGAAGTTCTTTCAAAAGGAGGCTGGATAGTCCTCTGATTGGGATAGTGTAGATACAACACATTCTACTTTTGGCAGGGAGGTTGTCTAGACTCCACGGTTCCTTCCAGACGTATGGTTCTGTGATGGCAGTACAATTTTATTTTTAAAATCTGCTCCTCGTCTCCATCAGGGTTTAATCTACAGCCTTGGCATTTGTCATATTGAATCCATTGCTTCTGTTTTTCAGGGTCTCTGCTGTGACTCAGTAATACAGCACTTTTATAAATATTTTTCTTTTATGCTTTCCCTCCCATATCTGTAATCTCACTGTGGCTATTTTGAAGCTGGCATAGATGTTTTGGTGGCATTATAGGGTGGAGCATGATAGGTAGGGATGCCGACGGGGTACCCAGGGAGCGACCCACTGGAAGCGGCTGGGTTGGAACATCCCCTGCCTACAGCAGGTGTGTGTGGGGCGGTGGGGGGGAGGGTCACTCTAGCCTGCTGTGGTTTAATCAGTTAAATGTTAAGTTTAAGGGCTCTAAGGACTCTAAGCCAATCAGAAGGCAGACTGCATCAGTCTGTGGTACTTGACATTCCTTGTAACCAGTTCTTTTTTTAGTTTAAAAAAAATGGTGCCGGTACTCCAAGGGAAGAGTTGTTGAGCTCTGACTGGAGGTGCTGGTACTGTGTACCAGGCAGTACCATCACAAAAAAGCACTGCTTGTAACTATCCATAGTGGTCCCAAAGTTGAAATTCAGTTTCAAGCAGAATGGCCTCTTACTGAAAACAGTGAGGAGTTTGACCGTTGTTGTACCTTGGACTCTGTTTGTGGTTGTGCTGCTGGCACCACTCGCAACATTAGAATGGCTTATTGAAATATTTGTTCCTTTCATGATAAGGGGAGGGAATTAAATGTTTAAAAATTTTCAAGAGGGGCTCAATTAACCTTCGCTTTTTCTCCTTTTTTGTTTGTTCTTCAGGTGGTTTGGATAATCTTTTACACTGCCATCCACTACGACTGACAGTCTGCAGGCCTTGCCTCCCAATCCTATCTTCAATAAATCCAAGAACATTTTAATAAATCAAAGTATGTAATGGACTGGTGGGAGACTAAAATCAGCCACCGTTTTGTACTTAGTGGTCCGAAGAGCCCGCTGGAGCCCTAGCTCCCCTAATAGAGAAGCTAGTCCATCTTGATTTTATACACGTGTTGCTTAGTGGAACTTCTTAAAAAGCCATCACAATTTTTGAAAGCAGTTCAAGACGGTTCAACTTTTGAACTTTTTCCATGACTTTATTCAATAACTGTAACAATTTCCTGTGCGCTATGGGGTGAATCTGCTACTTTAATTTGTGTAAGTTACCTCACCCTCTGGATGAAAGCTGTCATTAAATTGTGGCCTGTCTTCCATTGTTATCCTTCAGACATACAGTTTTAAAACAGCATTCACTTTGTTACTTTCAGGAGAACACTGCAGCATACAAGTAGTACATGGAGTTCAATGGTTGCCCATGTTTTCTTTGAAGATAATTAAAGATGTGCTTTATTTGAGTAAATTGACTATAGTTACTCAATGTTTTTAAAATTTTGCTCTGCTTTGGCAATGTTTAACTTGTAAGCTGTGGTTCATCATGCTTAGGATCTCCATGTTTCTGCTAGTCCAGAGGGCTACTCCTTCAGTTCCCAGAGCCTACCTCAGAGTTCAGTAGTCTAGTTGGACAGAATAATTCCAGAGGCATACTTTTAAATGTCTGTTTGACTGCTTCACATCTTAATTTTTTTATAATGTTTGTCTATATAAATTAACAAGATTAAAATTATCTTCTTTGACAAATGTAAACGACTAAAGATAATAGAGGCAGCTAATGTCATAGACACAGAATTATTAACTCTTTAAAAGAAGGATTTTCCCAGGAGCAGATAATTTCGAGTTCAGGGTTGGGCTCTTCATAAAATCGAGCAATGCACCATCATTGCTGAGCTATCCTGTCAGTTTAGAGCTACTCCTAGGGGTTACCACCAAGGTAAGCTGGGGCTAGTCTTTAAAATGCTTAATTATATATCTTTTCACAACTTGTATTGACAGCAGGAACATGTACGGTGCTGCCTACACAGTTATCTTCAGGAAGCAGTGCCACTGTGTGATTTGGTTGTAGAAAAGTCCCTGCTGTTCTAACCTATAGCTCAAGTAAATGAGGAGGAGGTGGGGAGGAAGGTTTGTACCAAGATTGCCTTATGAGAACTTGACCCACTTTTAATATTCTCTTGTTGAAATCCCCACATTGTTTCCTTGTTCCTGTCCTCTGAAAGCTCAAGAGCCTGGAATTCATGTTTGCATATAAAGTTAGGCACCTAAGTAATTTTTGCTGGGGGAAAGTTAACATGGTTTCTGTAAAGGGAAATCATGCCTTACTAATTTGCTAGAGTTCTTTGGGGGGGGGGGGGGGGGGTGGGGCGGGG